GTAATTTCCATTCCAAACTGTTGTTCCATCTGCATTGTTTCTCACCTTCCTATCTCTCTGTCTAATTCTTTTTTTTCGGGCGGGGGGGTTGGTGGTTACACGCACGCACATGCATTGACATCAGTGTGCACAGATACATGCATACAGTGGGTCCAGTTCTACCACCTGATCAGGAAGACGCGCGAAGATCTTGTCACTTGTACTTGGCAGGACTTTTAATTCTCTTTCTAGAAAAGAATTAATGTAGTTCGTGTTTCTCTGGTTTTCTTTGTGGTAGAGTTATTTTATAGTTCCAGTTTCTCTGATTTTCCCTGTGATAGAGTTAGAAAATTCTAAGAATTTGTGTTGGGGTTAGTGACATTTTTAGTTTAACCAGTTCGCAAGAAAGATGCTATTGGTGATCTCAAGAAATGAGAACTTGGGTTCTTGAAAAGTTTTGTTTACTTCGTGAAACTTTAATTCTATCTGACATACACAATAATTCATCTGAGATTCGCAAAACATGCTTTTTGGTGTGTGGAATGCATTGATGCCTCAAACATTATGATGTGTGCATGTCTCTAGCCAATGACAGAAATTTTCCTTTTTGCCAGTTGTGTCCTATTTATGAACAAAGTGGGAAAAGTGTCAACCTCGAGCCTTAAATTTTTATTTGGTCTTATCTCTTTCTCTCTGATGGGGAGCAAAAGGGAGAGCCAAATGTCATGTCAAGAAAATAGTGTGACTAAGGACATATAGTTGTTCTTGACTACCTGATGAAAGTTCAAATTTAGAAAGGATCTCTTTCTCGTAGAAGTTTGATGTCTATACACCATGCTATTAGGTTGAGTGGGAAACTTTTTTGACCATTTGGAAATGTAGATCTAAATCTAAATAAGCCTGCCCTACCCCTCTTTCTCTCTCCGTTCTGTGAGATATTTTTCTTCTCTTCAACCACCCCTCTCCCACCCTTGAGGGGGAGTAGGTGCGGATGTGGGGTTGTGTATGTTTCCACATGCTTGCATTACTAGTGGTTGCTATACTACCAAAATTGTGGAATGTGGATTTAATGAACTTATTATTGTGCAAAATTTGTAGTTGACTTCCTTACTAGCTAAGCTTGGGCTGAACATCTAGGAAACACATGCTTTTTCAACAGTAGATGACTATTCCTTAGATGTTTTTGTTGTTGATGGCTGGCCATATGAGGTATTCCCTTCTTACAATTTTTCATTTTTATGTGACTAGAATGTTATTTGCTTATGGCAAAAGACTAGGTTGTCTGGTGCGTACTTCGTTTTATTTTTGCGTTCTTTTTTTCAATCAGTTTGAATCAATAATATCTACCCTAAATGGTTTGCTCAATGTTATGCTTGGTCCATAATTGTTTCATGATGTTTTCTATTTTTGTGTGTCTTTCACCCTCACTCTGCTCGTAATTAGCTCATTTCCCCCATAGATGTTCCTTTTAGAAGCTCGAGATAGAAAAAGATCTAGTATGGTTTGGCTTGAAAGAGAAAGAGTTAGAGAGTGAGGAAAAAATGTAAAAAGTATTTATGTGCATCATATATGAGTGTTTCTAAACGTTGATTGTATATGAGCATTTTGCAAGGTGTAAATTATATGAAATATAGTTTTTTCCTTTATAGTTATTACTTACAACTATTATATGATATGGATAAGGATGGTAAAACTGTATTCATGCTCCACCGTGGGTTATCATAGCTTGGGTTTATGATTCTATATACAAGTAAATGGTGACATGAACGTTGTAAAGAATGCAGTAGATCCATAGGTAGTTGTGCATTAGAGTTGTAAAGTTGTTAGTAATTAGTCACATGTAATGAGTCTAGGTTGGGTACTCATAGCTGATTTCAAGATAGACATGACAAAGTAACTTAATGGTTCAGATGCGGGTGCACATTAGAAGTGGATAAAGAAAAAAGTTATGAAATGTTGTGAAAGATAAAGGGAAACAATGGTATTTCTATGAGTTATATGGATATGTTGATTTTTTCTATATGGCTTTCCTATGGGAGTCTCTATGATGTTATAATAAATGGGATGCTCTTGCTTCATATTGCTATATTGTTGTTTTCTTATCCGTAATATGATGATGCATGGTTTTCTAGTATTTTGACATCTCGGTATTCTAAATGACGATCTTTTGCAGCGGTAAAAGTGGACAAAAAATCAGTTATGGAATGTTGTGAAAGATAGCGGAAAACATCAGTATTTCTTTAGATTATTTGGATATGTTTGTTTTTCCTATATGGCTTTCCTGTAGGAGTGGTGGTGATTTTCTAATAGATGGGATGCTGCGGCTGGATATTGCTATATTGTTTTCTTATCCGTAATTTGATGCATGGTTTTCTAGTATTTTGGCATCTCGGTATTCTATGTGGTGATTTTTTGACACATGGTTTGCGACACTCGGTATTCTTATGTATTCGCATTCGTGTTATTATGCGGATTCTTATTGTTTGGTATTTTGTGGTAGTCATCGTATTGAACTTCATCTAGTGTGATTTTCAGTGATAATCATTTTCATCAATTGAGTATGATTATTAGAGCTTTGTTATTATGTAGTCAATCAGTTTCATCAGAGTTTGAGGTCCTAATGATCTGAGTTGAGCAACAGAAGCACAATGGACGTTATTTGAACACTCCAACACAAATTACTTTTCATGTGGATGAACAGATAGAATTGTAATGATCAACGCAGTCTTTAGATTGAAAAGTGCAATGTAGTAAAAGGGGACCTTCAGTGGCTAGTTTGAATCTGACAAATTATTGATTTTCATCAACATAGTCCCCGAAAGAAAAAAAGAAAAAATTTGCGAAGCTTGAAACGGTTAAGTACCCAATTTTAAGTGTCGACAAATCGCTTTTTAGGAAGAGATAGGTGTAAAGAGTGAATTGTTAAGTGATGGGTAGGTAATTATAAATAGTTGGTTTAGATTTTTTTTTTTTTTAATTTCTAATGCAATTCGTTCGTGCTCTTTGGAAAGTGGGGGTTGGTCCTTCACGAGTGTGCAATTGAAATTGTATTTTTCTATTTATGATTCGACTTGGGTTCTTGATTTGTGTGATAGGGTTATAAAGTTGTTAGTACTTAGTCATAGGGAACAAGTCTAGGTTGGGTACTCATAGCTGATTTCAAGATAGACATGGTAAAGTGGCTTAATGGTTCAGATGTGGGTGCACAGTAGAAGTGGATAAAGAAAAGAGTTATGGAATGTTGTGAAAGATAAAGGGAAACAATGGTATTTCTATGGGTTATTTGAATTATGTTGGTTTTTTCTATATGACTTTCCTATGGGAGTCTCTATGATTTTCTAATAAATGGGATGCTCTTGCTCCATATTGTGGTTTTCTTATCTGTAATATGGTGACGCACAATTTTCTAGTATTTTGACATCTTGGTATTCTATATGGCGATCTTTTTGCAGCGGTAGAAGTGGACAAAAAATCAGATATAGAATGTTGTTGAAAGATAGCAAACATCAATATTTCTATGGGTTATTTGGATATGTTTGTTTTTTCTATATGACTTTCCTATAGGAATGGTGGTGATTTTCTAATAGATAGGATGCTCCAGCTAGATATTGCTATATATAGTTTTCTTATCTGTAATATGATGCACGGTTTTCTAGTATTTTGGCATCTCGGTATTCTATATGGTGATTTTTGGACACATGGTGTGCGACACTCGGTATTCTTATGTATTTGCATTGTTGTTATTATGCAGATTCTTATTTTTGGTATTCTTTGGTAGTTTTCGTATTGAAATTCATTTAGTGTGATTTTCAGTGATAATCATTTTCATCAGTTGAGTATTATTGTTAGAGATTTGTTATTATGCAGTTGATCATTTTATTAGAGTTTGAGGTCCTAATGATCTGAGTTGATCGACGGAAGCACAGTGGACGTTATTGGTGATAATCATTTTCATCAGTTGAGTATGATTATTAGAGCTTTGTTATTATGCAATTAATCAGTTTCATCAGAGTTTGAGGTCCTAATGATCTGAGTTGAGCAATAGAAGCACAATGGACATTATTTGAACACTCTAACACAAATTACTTTTTATGTGGATGAATAGATAGAATTTTAATGATCAAAGCAGTCTTTAGATTGAAAAGTGCAATGTATTAAAAGGGGACCTTCTAGTTTACATTTGGCAAATTATTGATTTTCATCAACATAGTCTCCAGAAGAAAACAAAGAAAAAATTTGCGAAGCTTGAAACAATTGAGTACCCAATTTTAAGTGTCTATGAATCGCTTTTTAGGACGAGATTGGTGTAAAGAGTGAATTGTTAAGTGATGTGTAGGTAATTATAAATAGTTGGTTTGGATTATATTATCTTTTTTTTTTTTAATTTCTAATGCAATTCGTTCATACTATTTGGAAAGTGGGGGTTGGTACTTAATGGGTGTGCAATTGGATATGTTATCTATAAATTGTATTTTTTATTTGACTTGGGTTGTTGATTTGTGTAGTCCGTTTTTACATTGCGATTATTTTGTATCTGATTACTATTATATTTAGGCCTGATTGTTCTGCTATGTAATTGGATCGATGTAAGATTTGTTTGTGTTTACTATTTTTTAAAAATATTTTTTTACTTCTTTTATTTGACTTGTTTAATGTGCTTACTTTTTACATTTACTCGCTGAACAACTTACTCAATTTCTTCCATTGACGAGATGAATATAGGTTCTCTCTTTCTACAAATATATTGGTAAATATAAATAGACAAATAAAGACATACTTAAACAAATACACCCAGTTATACATTGTGATTGTTTGCGCTGAATGCCACATATATTGATTTATTTATATTTGGATTTATTTCTTTTATTTCTTGCCTTATTTTTATTGTTTAATATGGTTATCTTTTTCATCTGTTCATGTTTCTTTAATCACCTAATTGATTTGTGCGTTAAACAGGAACGGTTTATCTTCATTGTTGGTTAAAATGAAGAATTAATTTTTTGGAAGTTTTTTCGCTTGTTTTATATTGCATACTATGATCTTTGATTTTAGAATTTGCAAAATTTTGCAACTTCTACAAATTAAGGTTTTGTTAGGAAACCAGTACAGATACAAAGTATAGTAATTTTGATTTTTTGATCATCTTAGATTTTACTCTAATCAAAATTGAGATCTTGGTGTTTGAATAGAACTTCCCCACATTGTCTGTTCGTTGGACTCCCATCTCAATTTCTCTCTCTTCCTCCCCCTCAAAAATATCTCCGTGCACATATATATATACACAAAAAAGACATGCCTAAACAAATAAATGGATTCTGACCTTATATAGATCTCTCCTTCACATTGATATATCTCTCCCTTGCATTGATTCGGGCCTTACAAATCTCATATATGATACACTGAGCCGTATCGGGATAAATCGAAGGAGTTGGAGCAGTTTTGTCAGGTAGAAGGAGATAGTTCATAATGCCCATGGCCAGGTTTCTTGATGAGGTGTCTGGTTTGTTATGGAATTCATATCACATTTTTGAATTGATATAACTGTGATCAACTTAGTTAATGATCTTAAAGTTTGAACTTAATATAACTGGGTAATGTTTAAGCTGAAATTTCTGTTTTCTGAGTCATTTTTGTCTGCATTTTTTGTGATTGGGAATGTTTACTAGTCATCATTGAAGGTATGTTACTCCTCTACTGTCAATTACTTTCTTATAGTTTTTTGTTTCTTAAATTTTGATGTCATTTTAGATATTCTCTATTAATTGTAGTACATTAAGATAGTGAAGGAAATGCCAATCTGTTGAATTTTGGGAGGCTTACTAGACTGTAATTTAAGGAGTTGTGAAGTTATCTTCATGCGAGCTTGTTACAGGTGGGCCTTATTTTGCAAAAAAAACTTTTTACTCTTCTCTTCTCATTTTTGTGTTGAACCTTGAAGTTTTCAAGTATCCTCTCTATGATCTCAATGATCAACTTAAGTTCTTTGCTTAAGATTTCTTATAGTTATCAAACTATGCTTTGGATGGATGATTGATGTGGATTGTTGTCAATAGTAATGCAAGTTCCAGTGAAACAACTTCAAAGTTTTGGAAAGGGAGGACATATGTCCATACCCTATAGGGTATACAGGTTCATTTTCTTGCATGTCTAGGTGGCTAGTTCTATTGCTTATATTTTAGTGAAGACCAAATTTTTGCATAACGTGTCATATTCTGGCGTTCTATCATTTTGTCTTTGATTTCATATAAGTTGTTGTATGGATATGATATGCTATCTGACTATCACCTTCATGAAGTGGATCTGTTGAAAAACACTGACAAGGTTTAAATTAACAAGTAAGGTTCAAAACAATAAAATTGAAAAACCACCAATATCGAAGAGGGCAAGCCTATGTGTTGCAGAACACATCAACTCATATAGCTCTGTTACACAAATTGAGAGGGGTCCAGGCGGTGGCATATTGGATATATTTTTGTTTTACTGAGGAACAAGGATGTGGAAAGTAATGAATGCAACATACTCATAACTTCACTTTATGGTGTTTTTCATTTTTCATTGCGAGGTTGCTGCATCACGTCCTCAAGTCAAAAGAAGGCCAAGAGGATTGTGCAAATCGTGAGTTGCCCAAGGAGTGCAACCACTGGAAATGGAAATAGGGCTGCTAAGTAAAAAACACTTGTTCTCAAAATATGTGCTAAGCATCACTTTGGGCACTGAACTTTCAATTGTTTCTTTTTTGTGCTTAAAAATTATAATTGATGTAGTTGCAAACTTTCATCTAATTAATTATTGACAAAGGGTTATTGGTTTTTGATGATGTCCACCACATGTCCCTTTCAGATAATTATTTGACTAGAAGTTAGTGTTTAGACCATTTAAAAACTAATTAGAATTTTAAATGTCAAAATTGAAAATTAAGAGATCAAAGTGAGACTGAATGTATAGTTTGAGAAAGAGAGTAGATTTTACGCCTGAGTGGTCAACCAATCATTGGGAAAATTATTTTTGTTGGAATGCATCATCCTTGGTCCTCTAGAAGTGATACATCTGAAAGAAGCATGCTAGAGCACGACTGCCAATTTCAATTTGAAACTTTATCTGGTCTAGTACATTCACTTAGAGTCATCTGAGTCATACAACTTTCTGCATCAAAGAAAATAGTAACTATTTTCATCAAATATACACAATAGAAACCAAACACATCTTCAATTCGACATGATTATAAATGGGTCGGCTATGAGTTGAGTAAATTTGGACAAGACACGACTTACACAGACACGACCTATCAAGGACAGTGACTTTGACACCAGACTCCCCGTCCATCCAAATTGGTTTAAAAGCTCAAATTTAAGTGTAAATTATTCTTTGAAGTATTGGCTAACAATGCAGGGTGGGATGAAATATTCAGAATGCAGAGACGAGTTACAAATTAGAATCTCTACTGATTATGCATCCATCTTGATGAATGGGTTATGCTTTGATTTTTTGTTTTTGATTTTTATGTTTGTTTATTTCATGTAATGCTTCATCATTATATTACCTTTTCATGTATGCAGATAACGAAGCCTCCATGGAAATCGTAACATCATGAAATAGATGGACTACCCTTATGAGGTTAATGTCAGGTTTTGTTTTTCCTATTCAGTTGATACACTGATAATATTATGATGTTTCAGTTGCATTTATTTGAGATTCTGAAACACCATTCAGCTTTACTATTGAATGCTTTGTCTTTATTTGATCAAGATCTTGCTTGAATCTTTTTTCATCGAATTTTTTAGTCAATATTTCTTCATTGATTTGGTTTTGTAGTTTGTCTATTAAAAGTTCTTTCTGTTTTTATTCTTCCATTTTTTTTTGTTGAAAGTAAATGTAATTAAATAGTAGAGCATTGTTGTAGTGTCTAGATTTAAGTTGAGTATAATGGATTAAAATCATTCCTTGTTGTTTGTACTTTCTTTTCAAATAATGGCAGTTCAATGGATGATAGTGCATGCACTCTCTCTCTCTCTCTCTCTCTCACACACACACACACACAACACAGGTTTGGTACTGCTATTTAATAAATCGGCCTGATAATTGGACAAATTTTTGAGTTCGCTGATTGTGTTGGGGCATTTAATATTGTCCATTGAACGTATGCATTGGATGTGAATGTGGAAAGGGCGGAAGATGATCTCACCCATAAGAGGTTGTTGCATTTGGCTCAGGATCTTGCAAATAGACCTGCATTTGAAGTCCGCCTAGTCCAGGTAAGTTGATTTGATAAGACTTCCACCTCAGCATTGCCAAGGAATGGATTCTGCATTTATTGCATATCTTGACGTCCCTCATGTCCACTGCTACACAGGATAAACATACCCAAAACATGTTATGTTGGTTATGATTTGGATATTGGAGTTCTTAATCTGTATTTATTTGTTTATTGAGAATTGCCATGCTTAACAATCACTTTCTTCCATGCAGTTTGTTCATTTGTTTTCCCTTGTAGATATAGTGGTTTATTTTCTTAATTTTCCTTGTTAGGTAATTTCGTTCACTATTTTTTGATTATTCTATTGGCAGGAATTTTTTTATTTTTCTGCTAACTACTTTTTATTATTTTTATTTTCTCGGTTGGGGGTTGGGGGTGGAGGTGGAGGTTGGGGTGGGGGGTTTGGGGTGCTGTTAGAACATGTCTACACTTTTCTGGTTGGTATAATAATTTTGGAATCACTTTCTTTTGTAGGTTCCTCCTGTCTGTGATGGAAACTCAGGTGTGTCTCCTTCTAGCTCGCCAAGAAAGGAAGTTCCTCAAAGGTATTAGTTTCGAGAGATTCTCTTAAAGAAATTTTCTTTACTGAATTTCTTGGCTGAATGTAGTTCAGTTGTCACTCCCATGTTTTCTTTGAATGTAATTTGTTTAATTATCCTGCTTTTATTTTGTTGGTCAGTCCACCCTTACTATGATTTCTTATAATTTTATATGATTACTGAAACCTGTATGCCTTGATTCTTTGTTTTTCTTTTTCGTTTTTTGTGTTTGTTAATTTCATGTAATGCTTCATCATTAGATTACCTTTTCATGTACGCAGATAACGAAGCCTCCATGGAAAAGTAACATCATGAGACAGATGGACTAGTATTACGAGGTTCATGTCAGGTTTTTTTTCCCTATTCATTTAGTACACTGGTAATATTATAATGTTTCAGTTGCATTTATTTGAGATTCTGAAACCCCATTCAGCTTTACTACTGCATTTATTTGTTGGTGGTAGAATATGCACATATGATCCTCAAAACGGTGAATGAAGCCATCTGGGATGGCGTTATGCCTCTATTGTGTGCTTAACTGTAAAATTTGTCATTGTCCATTGGATTCTTATCTTTATTTTTCTTATGTTAAGTATATGACATTTAGCAGTTTGGGTTAATCTGGAGTTGGACAAGGGGACATTGTGAGCATGCATTATGATCCCATGATTGCTTTGTGCTGCACCATTAAAAGATAGGAGGGATTGCTTAACAAAGTTTTAGGTATAACGAATGAGACAATTTTCTGATTCATTGTTGGAGTGCTAAAATATTGGATTGTGTGCCTTGCATGATGGTGTACTTGGCTCTTGTGCATGCGTGTATTCCAAGACTTTTTGTGGTTTGATTGTATTGTGAGCTTTGCATTATTTTACATTTTTTGGATTTTAGATGAGCATATATAGAGATTCATGAGCTGCTATAAATTCTTGGATAAATGCTATTCACACGGATGACTTATTATTTAGCAAAACTTGGGTATTCATAATATACCTCAATCTAACCTACTCATGGGAGAAGACAATCGCTGATTAATTGTTAACTGAGCATTGCATATTGACTGTTACCGAGTACATGAGTACTATTTCACATTAGATTCCTTGTTTTTTGAAAATATAGCTTTACGTTGATATATAGAGATAATTAATTCATGATATGCGTATAAATGAGTCGATGCTCATGCTTTTATGATCTTTGTTTTCTTCAATTTTAGGTTATTCATCAGAAAAAGTAGTACAACTAGAGAAGGCTGTTGGGCTAGTTATCTAAATTGGTTGGAAGGATGTTTGAATTACAATATGATTGTTAAATATAATTTGTTTGGATGAATTGAATGTTTCATGTGGATGTAATGTATAACATAATTGTCCAAATTCTACTGTGAGAAGGTAAAAGAGTTTTGAGAAAACTCAGCCTTTCGTTATGGGGAGATTAGAGTTGCAAATTATGATCTACAAGGGAATAAGTTGGTATAAGATATCCATTTTTCAAATTTCACTTAACAAAAGATATAGCATAAAGCATGAACAAAGCATGACCTAGACATGGGACACAACATGATCCATGCAAAGCATAGGCACGACTTGGGCATAATACAAGCAAACATACCTCAATCATGCAATGTTAAGATACACTAATACACAAACACAAGCATGTAATGTTTACACGATATTGTTAACACAGTCACATTGACACGTCATAGTATACATAAGCACATGTACACATACTCATACATAAAAAATATACATACTAATACACCAGAACACAAATGTTAATACAAGCACTCATCAAAGCATTGGGTCTTGTGCCTTGTGATGTGAGACTTTGATTTGTGATCTATCCCGTAGAATTTAATAAACTCTAATTTTGAACATGATTAGTTTGTGTGTCTTGTGTAATAATGTGTTTGTTTTTCTTTGGTGTTTTTGTGTTGGTTTGTGTTTTTTGGTGTATTAGTGTGCGTGTATGTGTGTGTGTGTGTGTATGTGAATAGAGTGTGCACATGTCCTTTTTTTAGTGTGTTTTTTTGGTGTATGTGTTAGTGCATGTTTTTGTGCGTTCGTTTGTGTTTGTATAACTGTGTGTGTTTTATTTTGTTTATTTTTTGGTGTATTTGTGAGTGTTAACACAGTGTGTCGGTGTGTATGTTAGGGTGTATTCGTGTGTGTTTTGGTATATTAGTGTGTATTTTGTTATATATTAGTATGTGTGTGCATTTGTGTTTGGGTAATAATGTGTTTTGCTATGTTAGTGTCTATCTTTTTGGTGCGTTAGTTATGTTAACATATTGTGTGTTTGTATTTTAGTGTATTAGTTTGTGTGTTTAGGTGTATTAATCTGTGTTTTTGTTTTTGGAGTATTAGTGTCTTTGGATGGTGTATTAGAAATGTGTTTTGGGATTGTGTATTAGTGTGTATGTGTTTGTATTTTTTGTTGTGTTATGTGTTTTTTGGTATATTAGTGTTTGTTAATAAAGTGTGTGTTGGTGTGGATGTATTTTGGTGTATTAGTGCGTGTATTTTTTTCATGTATTTGTGTGTTAACAGTGTGTGCATGTGTTTGGTGAGGGTGTGTTAGTGCGTATGTGGGCACAAGTGCACATGTTGTGTGTTTCAATGATGGTGTGTTGGTGCATGTGTGTGTGTGTGCACGTATGTATGTAATAGTGTGTTTTTGTGTGTGTGCGCTCATCTGCTTTTGGTGTTTTAGTGTGCGATGTGCTTGCATATCCATTTTGGACTTATTGTTTTATGCGTTGGTGTGGATGTATTTTGGTGTATTAGTACGTATTTTTTTTTTCATGTGTTTGTGTGTGTTTGGTGAGGGTGTGTTAGTGCGTATGTGGGCACATGTGCACGTGTGTTTCAATGATGGTGTGTTAGTGCATGTGTGTGTGTGCACGTATGTATGTAATAGTGTGTTTTTGTGCGCGTGTGCTTTTGGTGTTTTCGTGTGCAATGCGCTTGCATATCCATTTTGGACTTATTGTTTGCTAAAGGTCTTTTGGAGCGGCGACCAAATTGCATTAGTTTTTTTGTTTTTGTTTTTTTTTTTTTTTTTTGGGGGGGGGGGTGTTTGGAGAGGGAGAGAGAGAGTGAGAGTGTGTTGAAATAAGATAGTGCGAGGGATAGGCACCTGTGAATGAAGATACTAATTCCATGCAGAACTTTTGATAAAATTTACAATTCATGCATAGACCTGTTTACATCCTGTAGACATTGCAGTCTCACATTGATTCTGGCCTTACAAATTTTGTATTTGATACACTGAGCTGTGGAATTATTCAGGATAAATCAGCCTCAATAAACCCCTTACAGCAATCACCAATCCTCTTAAAAATCTCACAGTGCCTCAAATGGAATGGAAGACCCTCAACAGCAATCCATCCTCCCAAAAATGAAACTTTGCTTCTAACTGAATTCGTTTCATGCCGTCGTTTCAGTGCCTTAAATGGAATGGAAGACCCTCAACAGCAATCCATCCTCCCAAAAAATGGTACTTTGCTTCTAACTGCATTCATTTCATGCCGTCATTTCTGCAACTTCATCTTGATAGATTTTTGAAAATAAAAAACTTCAGTCTTGCAAACTTCTTCATCCTCGAATTTTTTATGCTCAATTTTTTTGTTGGGTATTTAGATTAACCGTATAGAAATGTATTAATAGAACCTTAACTTGATTGTACGCATCTATGAAGCACGGATACTTTGTTGAGGTTGACGTACCCGTATCCGATACCGTATCGGATACGATATTCGTCAGATATTTGAGGATACGTATCGGATACACCTTCTACGTATTCGATAATAATTAAATATTAGGATACTTCACAGATACTTTTGTGGTCGAGCAACATATATAATTTTTAGGTTGAACTTTTAACATCTCTTTTCGAATTCACATATCATACAATACATTAACAAAAAATTTATATTACTCCAAAAGAGCATAAAATAAAGTTATTATATTATTATCTTAGCAAAAATTACTTCTAAATACTAGATAAATATTAGTTTTGATTCCTTTAGTTAGTCACTTCACTTTGTGAATATACTACAGCGATACGATATATATTTTTTTGCAACTTAAAAAAATTACTAATTTTTCTTATTGTATATTAAAGAACTACCAAAATATATAAGTATTAAGCTGGTAAAAAATAATAAAAATATTTTATTATAGCCGTATCTTAGCCGTACCCGTATCCTACTTTTTTAAACTTTGTCGTATCACCGTATCGTATCGTACCCGTATCCATATCCGTGCTTCATAGGTACGCATATAGCGGTAAAAGATTGGAAGTTTGGTGAATTCATTCTTGGAACTTAAACACGTGAAGTATTAAGGGATATCAATTTTTGTAGCTGTTTTTTTATTATTTTTTTTTATTTTAGTCATTAAACTCTAGACAAAATTCCATGTAAATCATGATCATGATGCTAAAAATTGTTCAAATATGGTCATCGAAATAGAATGTGTTTCCATACAAAATCACAGGCCATTGTAATTGGAAATCCAGACTGGCCCATAGAATAACTGGCGGTGTTTAGCCTTTCGTTTCGTTTAAAGGATTGAGTAGACAATGCCTCGGCTTATGTGGAATAAAATGCTAGCAAAAAGGAAACTTCAGAAGGTGAAATATGTAGAAACAAATATGTTGGGAATAGATTTGCATATGATGAAGATAAGAATCTGTATACATTAGGGCCTCTTCCAGAGAACAATTTTGAGGTCATGGTGGTTCTTCAGGAATCTTTTGCAAAGCAGTATGTCCTTTCTTTATATTTTTCAAGTACTTAAGTGTGTTGCATATTTTTCAAGACTTAGTATATTCTTCCTTGGTGGTAGTGGGAGTCCTCCTCACAATGGGAGCCCCAGTGAGTCTGGTAAACGGTCAAAGCATTCTTTACAATAAAAAACTTTTAAAGTCGAGATCAGCTTTGCTTCTAAAATACCTTTGTAATCCATTTCTCTTTCCCTCCAAGGAGCTGATCCGGACAATGTTCAAGTGCACTAAGGGTGCTTGATGTTATATTAAGACAGCAAGCAACTAATTGGTACTTGGAATTTTCTCCTTTCAAGGTTTCTTTTGAGGTTTCTAGTTTCTTCAATGTTGCTTACTTACATATTATGTAATTTGGATATTGAATGCAGGGGTTTTCTTTTGGTAAGACAGTCATTCTTTCATGATGACTTAAGGAACTTCACTGATGTTGGAGGAGGTGTTCACTGGGTGTTGGGGCTTCCGTTCCAGCTTTCGTTCAACTCATGGTGGTTTGTATAATCATCATTTTTTTTTGTTCTCCATCTCACTCGCCAATGTGATTTTGCTTTCACTTTCTGGCCATTAATGTAGCTTTGATTTCTTTGGGCAGATGTATCTACAAGTATGATCCTGACGCCTGGATCTGTTATTGATTTTCTGCTAGCTAACCAGAACGCACGTGAACATTGTTACATTGACTGGGCAAAGGTAAACTAACTGTTTAATTGCACAGTGGATCTCATTTTTGTTCTTAGTTCATGTATATAGTTAAATATTTTGTGTCATGTACAGGCCAAAAGAATGCTAAAAAACATAAGAATTAAGACAAGACACAACAGGGAGTTCAAGATCATAGGTTTGAGTGACAAGCCTTGCAAGCAGCTGTTGTAAGTGCTTTTTTATTCCATGGAATTTCTAATTTTCATTGTAAGTCGTCTGAATCATTTATTTGTTTCACTTTTCCCTCCCAAGTTTCTCACTGAAAGTGAAAAACAGTGATGGTTCCTATGATGGAGGACAGACTACGGAGATTACGGTATACAAGTATTTTTCCAAACATCGGAATATTGAACTTACTTATTCTGCATATATGCATTGCCTTGATGTTGGTAAACCGAAACAGCCAAACTATCTGCCACTGGAGGTGTGCATAATTCTCTCACTAGAATTTCTGGGTTGGCCCGATTTTCTTTATGTATAATTCCTCAGTGTCCTTCTCTAGAACAGATGCTGATGTGTTTTCTTTCCTATATTCCAGCTCTGTTCTCTTTTGTCTGTTCAACTTTATACAAAGGCATTATCTTCAGTGCAGAGAGCATCTTTAGTTGAAAAGCGTAGGCAAAAGCCTCAGGAGAGAATAAGAGTTTTAACTGATATAAATCTTCTTCCACCCAAATGGTTGCTCTTGTAGTTTGTAATATTGTATTTTACTGATCACTCAGTTTGGCAGGCTATGGGAAACTACCGTGATGATGATGATCCCCTCCTTGTTGCTTTTGGCATTTCAATTGAGAAACAACTCACCCAAGTTGATGGTCAGGTCCTTGAGGCACCCCAAGGTAGAGGTTGACTTTCTTGACGCGGTTTAGCAGTTTTCCTCACAATACAGATATGACTACACTGAACAATAAGATAAGAATTGAGTGTGCTCTTAAAATCGAATTTTCTTTCAATCTGCAGTTGAAGGTTGGTAACAGTGAAGATTGCTTCCCACATAATGGACAATGGAATTTCAATTACAAGGTATTGCCCACACAATTTATAGTATAGAGTTGTTGCTGAATTTTTTTGCTCCAGGAAACTGCTTTTGGATTTCTATAATTCAAGCAGTGGACGCAAACCAGCTCATACTATTGTCTTCAGGTATCACCAATAGCTGCATTAAAGTTTCAGCTGTATGGATTGTTTTGGTGGTCTTCAGGTATCACCAATAGCTGCCTTTGGATTTCTTTCTTTTATAATCTCGACAATGTGTTGCATTCCAAAAGGTATTCACTTTTTTGAGGACTCAAGCTAGTGTTGGCATGCTCCAATGTAGTAGATGTTTTTTGAAATTTATGACCACCAGACATCTGCAACTCAAAATGACCACAATTGATTTGGTTATTTACCCAAAAAAAAGCTCTTAAGAAAATTGGTTGTTGTCAACAAAATTATTGTTTTAGATATTTAACAATACTAAGTCTGTTGAGAAGCTAAATTGGAAAGATTGTCGGGGCTTGGGACACTGTGACACGCACCATGTGTTTCATCGCGATATCAAGGGGAAAACTTCTTACTGATTTTCTTTTTGCAAGTGATTCCTTTACATCATTCGAAAACTAGATCATGTTTTAGAGTGGTGGTTTAAATTTGTGACATGTTAGATTGTTAAATTCATAGTTTACTTTTGCACTTCTACTTAGTTTGCGAGCATACTAATTGGCAGAATGACAGTTTGGATTCCATATATGACCAAGAGGTTTATGATATACGGGAAGTGCTGTGATTTGCTCATGACCTTAGGATCTGTTTGGAGCCAGCCCCATAATTTTTTTCTTAGAACATGAGAAGAAACAGATGTGGCGCTATTGAAGAAGGCACCAGAGAAGCCCTTATTGATCTTTTTCCTCTCTCAAACTTTTTCTTTAATTCCTTGCTAAGCTCCTTGAATACCTCCCAACCTTCCAAGACATGAGAGAGGAGAGATTCCCCATCCGAATAATAGCCCCAATTTCGAGGATCATCTTTTGGCTCATGAAGAACCAAAATCATCCCTCGCCTTGACCTTATTAGAACACAAAGCTTTATGGGTGTTTCCCATAATCTCCTGAAACATTACTGTAGAAAAACTTTGTTCATTCAAATTACAAACGGGCAAAGGAGATGCAACTTTGCAATTATCTGGGAGAGAGTAATTATCCTGATGAGTTTTTGAGTTTCATCCTCCATTTGCAAACTTTTCTCTACTGCTCTTCTCTGCCTTCGCCTTTTGACCCGAAGATCACATCTTTTCCATACTCCTAGGCTCCACCAGAGTGAGGTTGTTACATACCCTTGATTTTTCCTTCAACTGCAAGTCATCAGATTCCCTACTCTCTTGATTTATCTGCAACCCCTCTTTTTCGCCATGATTATGGTTATAACCTCCTGTTTATCCGTTGATATACTACTTTTCTGGACTTTACTTGACTCGCCTTAAACTGTTTTCTGGCAGTACGTTTTCCTATGTCCAGCCTCAAGTTTCAGTACAATCATATGGATCACCTCTTTCCCCTCCTTTTTATCCTCCCTTACAATAACCCCTCCATTATCCTAAGGAGAAAGCTCCTTTTTATGACATTCTACCGCTTCATGACCTAGCTTAAAGCAATTCCTACAATACTTAACCTTTTCTTATATTGAATTATTTGCCAACTCCCTTTATATAACCCCCTTGATCCAGCCAAATCCTCTAGGGATTATCTGCTAATAAATTAATTTCTACCCATGCACAGTCAGCACCAAGCCTTGTTAAATTCAAAGTGGCCTCATCTATAGCAAGAATCTTACCAACTGGGCTCAAAATAGAAGTAAGGCATTCCTTAGTAAACAGATTGAAAGGCTGCGCTTGTAAAGAGATCCACATTGTAACAACTGCTGGTTCAATGCCAGAAGTAAAATCTGGTGACCACTTAAAGAACCTGAACAGATGGGCCATCAATAAATATAGCGTCCTTCAACCATGCTCACATAGTCTTCAAATAAAGAAAAACGAATGGCAATATGCCTAGGATCAATATTTGTAACATAAAACTCTCCTTTAATCGCCCGCTTCGAGTTTATGTACTCACGAATTACCCCCAAAGATGGCCTCCCATAAGAACATTTGCCAATCAAAGTGTGTTGAAATGGATGACATGTAGATTGAATCTCCTCCTTGGTCCAATAAAGAGATGGCTCACCATTATTGAAAACTGGCTTTTAAACCAAAATCATTACCGGAGGAACAATTGTAGAAAGAATAGACTGCACAGGAGCTTGAGAAAATAGAGAAGAAAAGGTCATATCAGGTGGCTTTGGTGGATTCAAGCTAGCTGTGTCATTCTCATGCATTGAAAATTCTAGAGAGAGGTTGAAGCTTCTCTCTAAAAACAAAATATGATTTTCTAAACCCATGATCCAATTTGTTATAAGTTGTAGCCCATTTATAAGATGGGTTAAAAATGAATTGGACCCGCCCTGCACCCAAGTTGTTATGAACCCACCCGACCCCCTTTTGCCACCTCTACTATTAAGGTTATAAATTATGGACCGTCATCAAAAGTTAAAAGTTATTTGAACGATATTTTTTCTTTGGTGGTTACAGAATATATTAGACATTGTCTTTAAGATCTATCCAAATCCTAAGACTAACATTTCAATTATTCATATTTTGTATTGGATTCTAGTGACTCTATTATATCGAGTTAGATCATGAGAGGAAAATTACTTTGCCTCTTTGATGTTGTCAATTATTAGTTGTCCCTGGTGTGCATGTTGTCTATATTTTTTTATTAGGAAGAAAGTTGGAGTATTGAAATTGGATGAATTATTAGGTTGGGTACTAATTTTGTAATTTGCAGGAAACATTTTAATTAATGCTACCAATGTTTCTATGTCTATGAAAATTATGATACATTTTTTGTTGTGCGAACAAATTGTATTAATTTATTTATTTTTTGTTGGGAGGGAGGGGGTGGAGAGAGAGAGAGGAAGTCGAAAACTTGAAATAAGATAGTGCGAGAGACAGACACGTGAAAGAATATACTAATTCAATGTGCAACTTTTGATAAAACCTGCAATTATGCATGGAATTGTTTACATCTAGCAATTATGATCTTCATTGTATAGAGTTTGTAGTTACGTTGATTTTGGCCATACTAATCTCAGCCATGTCTCTGTCAAAGAATATTCTAATTCAATGTACAACTTCTGATAAAACCTAAAATTTATGCATGGAATTGTTTACATCTAGCAATTATGATCTTCATTGGATAGAGTTTGTAGTTATGTTAATTTTGGCCGTACAAATCTCATCCATGACACACTGAGCAGTGAAATTATTCAAGATAAATTAAAGGACTTGGAACAGTCTTATCATGCAGAAAGAGAGTGTTTACTGATCCATTTGGAGCATCTCATCATACAGAAAGAGATTGTTCATAATGCCTACGTTCTTGATTAGGTGTCTGGTTTATTATGGAATGAATACCATAATTTTGAACTTTTTCAAAAGAGTAATGCTATTTGGACTTAAAAATCTGACTTAATTTGCTGACATAATGATGTAACTTAATAGGAATCATTGGATCAACACCAAGTTTCAATGTTTGATGGGGCCTAAAGTCAATCCAAAGGTTACAGTGAATTAGGTCGACAAATTAGGTCCCAATAGCATTGCTCTTTTCAAAAATGTCAACTTTTGAATTGGTGTATCGGCTTAGTTAATGATCTCAAAGTTGAACTTAATGTAACTAAATACTTTTTAAGCTGAAATGTCTATTTTGTGAGTCGTTTTTGTTTGCATTTTTGTGCTTGGGTTTGTCCACTCATCCAAGGATCAAAATGTCGTGTCGACACGTCCGAAACGTCCGAAACGTTTCGGAATTTCAACACTCCGAAACGAAACAGTAGTTGAATCACAAAATTTCAGTGTTTCGGTCGAAACGGTACTGTTTCGGACCGTTTCGGTTGAAACGGCATTGTTTCGAACCGTTTCGATCGAAACAGTACCGTTTCGACAAAACAGTGATATATTCGGTTCATTATGAATAATTATATTTAATACCCATTATAATTACATTTAATACCCACTGTAATTACATTTAATACTCACTATAATTATATTTAATATCCCACTATAATTACATTTAATTTCCACTGCTCTTCTGTCTTTTATAATTTTTTTGTTATAAGAATAAATAATTACACTTAATACCCTACTATAATTATATTTAATACCCATTATAATTATATTTAATACATACTGTAATTATATTTAATACCTCACTGCTGTGCAAGTTTTTTGCTTTTTTTTTTTTGTTATAAGTATTAACAATTACATTTAATACCCTAATGTAATTATATTTAATACCTACTGTAATTACATTTAATACCCATTACAATTACATTTAATTTTTAAGTATACATAAGTATCATTAATTTAATTTGATACCCTTCATTATTAGTATTATAATAAAATAGTATTATTAATTGGATTATATTACCGTAATAATATGATTTGGAGTAACTATTGTCATCATATTTATGTCACATATGGAGTTTCTCTAAGTAGCTATCCAGAGCCTACACCGATGTATGAGTCTGCTCGACACTCCACAGGGGAATGGATGTAACCATGTAAGTATGTACTCATTAGCATTTCATGTGTATTATAAGACCTTAATATTATGTAAAAATGTGTTTATTTCATAAAAATTAAGTGTTTGAAACTAATTTAAGTGACTTTCGCCTCAAGTCAAGCCTTTTTTTTCCCTCAAATTTAAATTTATTCTTGTATAAATTGATGTTAACCTAATAAATATGTTGAATTAATAAATTATTTAGCATATCTTTATAAATTAATGGATTGCATTTGTGTTTCTATGCGTTTCCATATTTTTTCTGCGTTTCCATTGCGTTTCCGAAATGTTTCCGAAACGTTTCTATTTTTGAGTTGACCGAAACGGTACTTCGAAACGAAATTTTGATCCTTGCACTCATCATCATTCAAGATATACTACTCCTTTACTCCCAATTACTTAAATTTTTTTGTTTTTAAAATTTTGATGTCAATTTAGATATTCTCTATTGATTGTAGTACATTAAGATGCTGGAGGAAATGCCAACCTGTTGGAACTTATGGAGGCTTAAGGCAGCAATCTAAGCAATTGTGAAGTTACCTTCAGAGGAGCTTGTTACAGGTGGACCTTATTTTGCAAAAAAACTTTTTCTCTGCTTTTCATTTTTGTCGTGAACCTTAAAAGTTTTTAATTATCTTCCCT